AATTATTAGGGAGTATTTAAACAATACTTTCCCGAATCGAGTTATCAGTGGAACAGACGATATTAAGTGGCCTGCGCGATCTCCAGATCTTACACCCATGGACTTCTTTTTTTGGGGATTTAAAAAGCATTATCTACGCTCATGCTGAGGCTAGAGCCCAAAATTTGGATGAATTAAAAAATCGAATAAGAGAAGTCTCCAATTCTGTTACAGCAGAAACTCTTTCATTTGTTCGCAGAAGATTTTATGACAGATTGGCGTACTGTTCAGCCGTAGAAGGTCAACTATTTGAACCATTTCTGTAGGTCATAAAGAATTATTTTTTATTTTATTAGGAATAATATTTTAATTTTCAATAAGAGTATATTTTTTATTTTATCTTTTTAAAGAAATACGCTTTTATTTTTAATTACACCACAAAAAAATTTTCACATAAATAAAAATCGATAACAATGCACCGATTAGGTCAGTGCATTTTTATCGAATTTCCTACTATTAAAATCGGCTATACGTAATGAAACATGAGATCGGACGACAGAGAAGTACATCCCAAACGTTGTTGTGAGTTACTAAACTAAAATAATAATAAATGATTTTCTTGCGGTGTAGATACTGAGATAGTCTCGGGTCGGAGAACGAACATTTGCAACGTTGCCGATTTTAGCGCTCCGTATAGTGTGCAATACCTAATCAAAAACTTAACGCACTGTATACAATTACAAGTACAATTCCTTAGCGGAATGTCGTTTCTATGTTTAAAACGAACTACTGGCAACACTGTTGGTTTGAATAGATTAATTGTTTATATGAATACTATACTGTGGATTTAGGAAACACTGGTTACTTTAAATGATTGGCTTGATAATTTTTATGAATCATGCAATGGGAGTGTAACTACTTAGTTACAAATACATATAATATATTAATAAACGAAGCGACTATTTGCAAGCTAGCGAGGTTAGCTTAGGAGATTTTGCGATCGACTTTGGTAATAGCTTTTTCTGAACTATTTGATAATATCCAAATTATGTAGACAGATAGTGAATGGCTCCTACCCCTAGAAGTACCGTTAAATATCTTTCTTTATTCCTTCTAAGAATTTCAATATCGTCATGGTTAAAAATTAATCTCAAGTGAAATGGAATTTCACCATAATACTTACTTCGTTTTTGGCTGCATGGACTAATCCTACAGCCAAAACAAAAATTCTTGCTTTATCAATACGTATTTCAATTGAACCTGTTTATGTATTGTTAAATTAATAAACTGAAATAGAGTAAACTGTTTATATGTCTATCAAATTTTCAATTTTGATTTAAAACGTAATTCCCTATTTCTCGTCGACTAAGCACTGTGAGAGATCATGTTCCAATATCCAAATTCAGCAATTATTAACAAGGGCTCTCTGTCAGCTCTCTATGTCATCAATTAACAAAAACTCTGTCGATTGAATATAGTGTATTTCACAACCACCGGTATATTTAGCTATATAAGAGCAAAACAAAATCTGGCAACAAAATCTAGTTAGCTAATTGTCAACAGAGCAAAATAAAATGAAACGCTTTTGGGTTTTATTGCGTTAAATTTAATTTTCTAAATTATTTGGTTGTCAAAGATAGCTAGAAAGTGAAGAATAAAACGGAAAGAGCGCTGCATTTTCTTGACAGTTCTAATTAGGTGTTTACAGTTGTCTGCACTGTATGCAGTCGTGAAACGATTCGAAAAATTGAGTAGCTTGACAGGCTAGCTTATTGCGTTTCTCGAATTGATAAGATCTTTCTTGCTTAAAAAGCTTAATAGCGTTTTTGTCATAAAATGAGCAAGCTTTTTAGATATTAAACAATAAACTGGACCGGCAAAAAAATGAGCTACTCTCAAACATTCATAATATTGGAAAAATTCATATTTATTTCCAGTACTTCTTTTATTAAGACATCTAAATTAACTTATTGAAGGTTTATTGCTTCAGCTGTTTTTAATTTGCATTATATGCAAAATGCATTTTTGGCATATCTAGTATATTTTTCATAAATTTCATATTTTTACAAGAAATTAGGCATATATCTGCATATTTTTATGTGTGTTGCTAATAATTTCTGAATGTGTCGATAATTTGTTGAAATTCTTCTTTTTTCTCTTTACAAGCAATTTTGCTTGTTCATAGAGGGACTAATACCTCTATGGAAGGTTGTTCCACGCACTATTTTGACAACCTGGTTGCTTCAATCCTCAGTTCTGCTTATGTGGTTATTCAATTCTTTTTTTCTATTTTTTTTTCAGTTATTTATATACTGTACGTTATTTTCTTCTAATGTCTTCACTTCTCTTTCGATCTCTCAGCGTATTTCCTGTAATTCTCCTCAGTACTCTTATCTCTGCCGTGTCCAGTAGCCTTTAAGTTGTGGCTGTGTTTCTGTCTTGTTTCTGAGGCACATGTCACTATTGGTCTTAATCTGGCTTTATAAATTCTTGACTTTATCTCAGTTTTAATGTGTCTGTTTTGCCATAAAGTTTTATTAAGGCAGTTTGCCAGTCTATTTGCTATTTGCTTCAGATCAAAACAAAATATATCCAGGTAAGTAAAAACGCAGAAATAAGGCAGCCACAAAATATAACAATAGGAGAATACAACATTGAGGGGGTAAAAAAATTTATATACTTAGGATCCCTAGTCACGTCTGATAATATCGTTGCGGAGGAAGTAAAGAGGCGAATATTTATTGCCAATAAATGTTACCATGGCTTAATTAGGCAACTAAGATCAGATAACGTTGCAAGAAAAACAAAATGCCAAATATATAAAACTTTAATAAGGCCGGTACTTACATACAGCTCAGAAACCTGGGCACTCAGTAAAAGAGAGGAAACGTTGTTAGCCAACTTCGAAAGAAAAATCTTGCTGCACATATATAAGGGCATAAAAGAGAACAAAATATGGCGAAGAAGATACAACTTTGAACTATACAAAATATACCAGGATCCGGATATCGGAAAAAGCACGAAACAGATCAGAATGGAGAAGAATCCTGGAACAGGCCAAGACCCAAAAAGGGTTGTCGAGCCAGTGATGATAATGACTTGATCTCTCACTTCTTTGTCTCCATAGCTGGACAGTGTAATTCCCAGGTATTTTAATTCCATTACTTGTTCAATACTGATGCCATCAATTTCTATTTTACATCTGTTGGTTCTTTGCTGACTACTATTGTTTTAATTTTCTAGGATGACATTGTCATATTAAATACTTTTGATGTTATGTTAAATCTGTGGACCAGTATTTGCAGACAATCTTCATCTTGGGCTATTAATATTGCGTCTTCCGCGTAACAGAGTATTTTTATTTCCTTGTTTCCCTTTCTGTATCCTATTTCTTTGTTAACGCTTTTGATGATTTCATCCATGATTAAATTGAAGAGCATGGGGCTCAATAAATCCCCTTGTCTGATTCCGCTGCCTATTTTTATATGTTCTGTAAGTTGTCTCAAGAGAACCTGTAACTCCTAGAGATCGCATCCCCAGGTCGCAGATGGAATGGACGACCCAATTTACCGGTGGGTAGGAGAGAAATAACATACCTCCCGTGGACCAATAGGTAATTCACCGAATGATTGCCGGTATAAGCAATCCCCAGCTTACCGATCAACAGCTTCCGGCGGATGAGTCGGTAGGTAGTAGGACACTCTTTTGTCCTGAAGCTGGGAAATCTACTCCAAAGGCGGAAGAAGCAATAAATTGGTCAACGACAGAAGAATTCAGAAGGCAACGGGAAACCATTGCATTTAAGACTCATGGAGTATCCCTAATTATGGCTTATAGAAATGACCTACTAATCATGGTTCTCGGAAGCCAAGATTCGGCAGAGGAAGAAACAACAGTAGCGACAGGGCTTTCAAGGCTGTTAGCCAGTTAAATCCCTGTTCACTAAATATATACAAATCTATCTGCAAAATCGCTACATGTAATGTAAGAAGTATGTATGAACCTGGGAAACTGAGGATTATACAGCAAGAGATGATGCGGCTGGAGATAGATATATTAGGAATAAGCGATACATGATGGGTCAGCTCTGGCGAACTCATTACGGACAATGGACGAATTTATTACTCTGAAAGCAGTGACATTCAACACAGATATGCACTGTTATCCTGATTTCCTGATGAGAACGATTTCCGAAGTGGAAATTGAAACGTCAATAAACATATTTTTTATCTTTAATTGTGGCTTATTCCCAGTTAAATAGTAATTAATTACACTTATCTAGGAACACTTATAACAAAAAATAATGAATACACTGCAGAAATCAAAGTCAGAATCGAAAAAGCACGTTCTAATTTTATGAAAATGAAAAAGCTCCTATGTGGCAAAGATTTAACATTAGAAAATAGGTAAAAAGAAATAACATCAATGAATCGCAGAAGAAGCATTGTCTTTCTTCGATGCTTCTTCTGCCATCTATCTTTCCTTGCATTTCCTTGTATAAGGAAAGATAGATGGCAAAAGAAGCATCGGAAGAAGACGAATTTCATGGCTTCAGAACCTGAGAGAATAGTTTGGATCCAGCTCAAAACAATTTAGAGCTACTGCCTCAAAAACTAAAATAGCTATGATGATTGCCAACCTCCTTAGCGGAGATGGCATCTGAAAAAGAAGAAGTAAGTTGTCCATTTATTCTGATTTCCATTTAGTTATTTTGGTAGATGCTTTCGATAGTTTTTATAATATTTAGGCGAACTTTTCTATTATATTGAAAATGGATTACATCTTTGAGTCTTACTCTATCAAACACTTTGTTTAGGTCAATCAGACACAGAAATGCTAGTCTATTATACTCTAGTGAGTTTCTAAATTACTACAAATAATGCAAATGGCATTCATACAACAAAACAGTTTATAATTTAAGCAAGTTTTACGTTTCTACACTATTTTTGTATATTATAAAACTCAATTAGCAATTATCAAAATGTCTGTTGCAGAATTTAATTAATATATTTCTTTTACAGGATAAAAATGAGCAGCAACTTCACTACAAGCATTCCGTCAAACATCACAGATGTAGGCAATGACACGTTGTATAATTTTAACGCTACTTTCACAAGTGAAGACAGTGATGTACTTTATGAAAACGTCGTTGAGATATGCGTTTCATTTCTATTAGTGTGCTGTCTTTTAGCTATGTGTGTAAATACTTTAGTCATTGTTAGTGTCTATTGGATCAGAAATCCCATGACCCCAAATCTAAAGATCAGCTTGAGCCTGGCCGTGGCTGACGCTTTGAGTTCCAGCATGACTGGTCTAATTTTGCTTATGGAGATAATTAGTTCTTCATATTTAGGAGTATTTCCTTGTATAGTTGAGCTTGTACGCCTAAGCGGGATTGTTATTACTGTATTGCATCTTTTGGCGTTAAGCTTTAATCATTATATTGGCATAATGAAACCTCTCCATTACAATGTGATTGTCACCAAGAGAAAGGTTACCGTTGTAATAGCTTTCCTTTGGATATGTCCTGTAATCTTACTAGTGGCGCTATCAACACTAGAAAACAAGGGTAAGCTAATACAAAGTATACACGACAACACCTGCAACATCCAAATATTTTCTACATTTGCTGTCAGATTAAGCTATAGCGTTTTATACTTTTTCCCCATATTACTAATGGTTACCTGCTACACGCACATCTTAATCACAGTACGAAACCAGCAAAATAAATGGAAAGCAGTATCTAGATCTGGAAGTTCTAAATCGAGAGGACGGAGTATCCAACCTAATAATACCAGTCAAAAGGCCATCAGAGAACAAGCAAGGTTGCAAGGAAATATCAAAGCTGTATATACCACGCTATTTATATTGGGTAAGTAATAAAATAGGTTTTTATATTTATCTTTATACCTTTTTAATTAATTAATTAAATTAAATAACTAAAGCTTTTTGGGGCCGAATTACCAAAAGAATGTAAATTATCTATCATGTCAACTGTCCACAAAAAGGGCAGCAAGGATCAGTGTGAAAATTTCAGAGGAATTGCGGTAAACAGCACAATAAGTAGGATGTATGGGAAACTTATTAAGAACAAAATAGAAAATGACTATAGAGATTACGAAGCAGAGGAGCAAGCTGGTTTTAGAGCTGGGCGATCCACAGTAGACCACATGTACTCTATTACGCAAGTTATTGAGAAAAAAACAGTCTTCAATAAAGAACTTCACCTGGTGTACGTAGACTTACAAAAAGCATATGACAGTGTACCCCTAAGTAAACTATGGTCCACACTACAGCAAACCAACATTAAGCATGGTCTTATCAAAGCAGTCCAAAGTCTGTATAATGGAACGACTGCAAAAATTAAAACTGGATAAAGGATATCTAAAGGATTTAAGGTTACGAAAGGATTAAAGCAGGGTTGCTGTATTTCGCCTAACCTTTTCAAAATTTATCTGGAACAAGCACTCAAGCTATGGAAAAGAAAATGTAATGGCATGGGAATCCCTCTCAATAACGTGACTACACTGTACACCTTATGTTTCGCTGATGACCAAATACTGATTGCCCAGGATCATGACGACTTGAGTTACATGACTCGGAAGCCAATAGAAGAATAAAACTAATGGGGTCTATAAGTCAACATTCAGAAAACTGAAGCCATGTGTATTGGAGGGACAAAACAGTCCATTATATTGGACGATGGGGTAGAAATTAAAAACTGTGATGAATACAAATACTTGGGTATGAAGATAACTCAAGATGGAACACCCGATGCTGCTATAAATACAGGGGAGAAAAGCAATATCCATCATGAACGGCATTCTGTGAAACCGAACAATATCTAAAGTGAACAAACGACTCATATACAATATCATACTTAAAAGTGTAATCACATATGGCAGTGAAGTTTGGCCAATGAAACAAAGAACAGAGAAACTGTTACTAGCAACAGAAATGGACTTCTGGAGAAGAGCAGCAGGCAAATCAAGAAAAGATCGAATACCAAATGAGAGAATACGAGAAATGATGGGAGTCAAGCATACAATAGTTGATGACATAAAAACAAAACAGTTAATATGGTACAGCCATGTACAGAGAATGCCATATGATAGGATTCCAAAACAGATTTTGACGTGGACACCAAAAGGGAGAAGAAGAAGAGGAAGACCGAGAAGAAGCTTTAGAGAGGGAATTGAAAAAGAACTAGAGAAAAGAGAAATCCCTCCAGGCGTATGGTTGAATAGAGAAGAATGGCGGTTAGGAGTCGGAAGGCGTCGGAGAACGCTGTAAACCGATAGTAGTAGTAGTACTAAAGCTTTTTTTAATACAGCAATTTACTGATATAAGCTACATTGATTCAAAAATTAATCCTTGATTAATGTCCCAGCTTGCGTGAAGGAGAAGTTTTATATTAAGTGGGAGCTCTTCTGTACTTCTAGAAAAACCTGAACATTGCGTATTCCACTAACTATTATTATTTTTACTATTATATATAAGCAAGGACAGAGGGACAAGTCCCTATTATGCCCAAAAACAAAGAAATTTCATTCGTAATCTACTAGTAAATTGCAAAATTACAAATTAATAAAATTACAATTTTTAGTTTTTACACAAAAACAAAATTTTAACTATAATATAAAACTATGAAGTCTGTTTTTGAACGAGTTGGTAGAGGAAGCAGAGACAATGTTATCGTTTTGGAAATAAACATTTCTTCGTGATTTCCAAAATTGAATTTCAATATTTTAAATGTTGTTATTAAGTCTCCACATGGTCGGCGAAGTTCAAAAGAAGTAAGATTAGCCATATTAAGTCTTTCTGTATAAGAAGGTCTTCTCTGTCCTAAAGGAATTCGAGTGGCTTTCCTTTGAGTCTTTTCCAACAAAGTCTTGTCTCGAACCCAATCAAGATACTACGTTGGTCCAGCGTATTCAAGTATGGATCTTACGTAAATCGTTTAAAGTTTACAGAATTATTGCAATAAAACTCTCGAAAAACACCTCCGAATAAGATACAGTCTGGAGTTCGCACGTTTACAAACAGAGGTAATATGGTCGGACCAAGTTAGGCTGCTATTTAGGATAACACCAAGATCGTTGTACGAGAACACAAGAACACAGAAAGCTTGAGACCGAAAATCTGAAAGAAATTAGAGGAAGCCTATGGTCAACTTTGATGATGAAGCTTTTGTGGATCATCTTAACATATGGTACAGGATATCAGCTATGTCATAAGTGACTCAAAACTGAAGGAAAGTAATTTTCAACGGTTTAATATTACACATTTATAGGTGGTTATGAAATGTGGATTCAACCAGCTATTAACGTGCAGAGAAGAAAGTAAGGGGAAACTACTTCACTATCTCCCTAGAACAATGAATATACAAAATAAAATAATACATGTGATCCCATATACGTGGTAGACCTTCTATGGTAAGAGGATGCTAAGAATCTTCGCGAAGAACTAGGTGTTACCCAAAAGTGGAAAAACCTAAAAATAACCCAATTAACCAATGATATTCTCGGAATAAGCTAAATAAGGTAAAAAAATTACGAAAAAAATAAGAACTTATGAAACTCCCAATTCCTTATTTTCTGTATGTAAACCATTTGACAAGATAGTGTGTATTTTTGTGTCAACGCTATCCTTCTCTAGACATCATGTTTTTTGAATTGCTACCGTACTAATCTTGTATCTTTTCAATTTACGGATCAAGGTGCTCAACGCTCAGGTCTATTTAAAGTTCTAAAAAGTAATCCATGTTTCGTTGCCAATATCCCGAACTTGTTTTTGGGTTTCATAGTAATGGTTTTTTTTTCGTGGATAGGTTACTAGCCTGTCGCTGAACCCTTTTGTTTTATCCGGTATCGGTTACTGATCTGCTCATTCCACCCGGAGTTGATTGATATAAATACTTGGTTTAAACTACTAGCTCGCAGATTATACACGTAGAAATCACCACAAAACAATTAATAAAATCAAATACAGAATAGGGTAGATTTTTCTTCTTGTAGTTTCTTCTTCTATCGGATATTGTCTATCATCACAGCTATCCCTATCTTATTGTTGGCTGCTCTAAAAAGATCTACCGAAATATCTCATATTTCGCACTTCTGGTAATGTGGCCTAAATATTTCAGCTTTCTTGTTATGTTGTATGAAATCGCAATCCTTTTGTAGCCTTCTTAACACTTCTACATTTTTAACCCGTTAGGTCGATGGCATTTTCAAAATCCTTTTATAGCACCACATCTTAAATGATTCCAACTTCTTTATATTATCTACTGTAGTGTCCAGCTTTCCATTCCAATAAAGTCGAGAACACGTAGTATCTTAAGGCTCTTATCTTTAGCTCCAGAGGAAGGTCTCGAATAACAAACATTGTTTTCAGTTTTATAAATGCTTGTCTTGCAATTTCAATGCGTGTCCTTATTTCTCCACCTTGGTCATTTACCCAAGTGCCCAGATATTTGTAGTTATTCACTCTATCTACTTGTTTTCTCTCGATATCTAGCCTACCTAATGTATGTTGCTTAAAAATAATTATGCACTTGGTTTATTAACGTTCATTTATAGTCCATATTTTATACTGACTTGATTTAATCTATTTAGTAAGCCTTGCAGTGCTTCTAAAACTGTCTGCAAAAACAGCGGTGTCGTCTGCGAATCTTATGTTGTTCAAAATTTTTCCGTTTATTGATATATGTTGTTGTTCCTATGATATTGGTTCCTTAAAAATAGCTTTGATGTACAGATTAAATAACAATGGGAGCAGCACGCAACCCTGTTTGACATCTCTTTTGCTTTTTGATTCCAGTCCAAATTAACAATAACGCATATATCTCGACTTTCTACATTATTTTCTTTTAACAGTTTTAAGAGTTTCTGATGTCGTACTCCATTAAAAGCATTTTTATAATCTATAAAACAGACATAGAGACCCTGGTTCAGATCTAGTCGTCTTTGAGCTAGAACGTTAAAAGCGAACAAAGCCTCTCTTTTTCCTAATCCTTCTCCGAATCCAAACTGAGTGTCATCTATATCTTCTTCTATTTTTTGTATAGTCTTTCATGTATTATTTTGCGAAATATCTTAAGTGTGTGGCTTATTAAGGAAATTATTCTGTATTGTCAACCATATTTTCCTTGGCTTTTTTTATCTCAACTTTAATTCTACTTTGTAGTTCTTGATAGTTTGGCTTATTTCTCTCTTTGGCTTGTCTCCTCTCTTCCACTAATACTAGAATTTCTGAAGTCATTTACTTCTGTCTTTTATTTGTCTTTTCAGGCTTTAAATTTTCTTCTGCAGCCTTTAGTAATGCCTTCTGAATATTGCTCTACTTTTCATTTAAGATTTCTTCTCCCACTTCTGTTAGATTTAAGTTGACTTATTGGATAACTTTTTGGTGTATTTCTCTTTATTTTTTTAATTTTGTATAATCAAACGTTAAAAGTATCAGAAAATGACAAAGAGTTTAAAGAAATCTGGACTGATTATTTTAAAGAATTATTAACAGTACAAAAGGACGAAGACTTAAATAAAAATGTGGAAGAAGAGACCACGATGATAGAAACCGAGCTAGAAAAACCAACGAGAGATGAAATTGAGGAAATTATAAACAGTAGTCGCAACGGTAAAGCACCAGATATAGACGGTATAAACATGGAACTAATAAAATATGGTAGACATGAACTCAGAGAAAAAATATACCAATTAATAAAAGTCATATGGGACGAAGAAAAGATGCCAGAAGAATGGCACAAAGGACAAATTATCACAATCCATAAAAAAGGAGACCAACAAATGTGTAATAATTATAGAGGACTGACATTATTAAACACAGCGTATAAAATCATGTCAACCTTAATAC